TTTCAAAAATTGGCCATCCAGGGCATTCTTCCACCGAAAAACTTTTTTTCATGAATTTTGAGCTACGGGTTCGTGAGGTAGCCCATTCGAAAGAGCACGTTTTTTTACCCCTAGGAGTGCTGTATTTTATCCCACAAAATGTTCCACGAGTTTTTTATAAGGATTTAAAGTTTGTAATTTTCGGTCATTTGGGGTAGAAAACCGGCTGTAACTTTTTATCTAGAGGGGTTCTGCAACTTTTGAAAACGGATTCGGAATCAGCGAAAAATTCTGCACAAAATGTGCTATCTCACGTATCGAAATCCCACGGTCAACAAAAAACGGTTACAGTAAGCTCCACGTATGTGTTAAAACCTTGGTTAAAAAAGCGCTTCGCGGCATTTTTACCCTGGCCCCTTCTAGAATCCATCTTTTCAATCCATCCTTCTTCTCTGACAACTCAAAATTTTGAACACTTTGATCGGTGTTTTGACCCCAATCGAAATGTGCCAGGGGTCACGTAATGTCACGTATTCCCCTCCCTAGACGAACAGAACGCTTTCCATCCTTCAGTAGCAGCCGTACAGAAGGCTGAGCGCCCGCCGTTCTTGGCCAAAGCCGTCTCCTAAGCGGCGTGGCGGTCGACCGCAATTAGTCGTACCTCGGGAAGGAGTATCGTCCCGTACAAAGGACTTTCTCTCCGCTCTCACCCTCAACACCGGCTTGGCACGCGTTTTTTAAAAATGTGCCAAGGCAGGCAGACCGTTTTCTCTCCCCGTCTGGCGCCTAGGTTAGTGGATTATTGGATTGTGGTGGGTGGATAAGCTGTTCGATGTCTTGAAACCAGTCTTGCCGGCTGGGTAGCGGCAGATTTTTCTTGATTCTACTCTTTTAGAGATCTGGAATTTTTGATTTCAACCCCTGAAGCATGAACTTTTCTATGTTTTTCCGAGTTAAACTTATACCTCTTGCTTTACTCTTGTGCTTTTCCGAACGACCGAAGTATCGAAATTGGAGGGTAAATTGACAAATTTTCACCAGTTCTAACGGCTTTTGCCCCTTTAATTGAGCATGAATTTAGTAATAAGAAACTAAATATAAAACTTAACTCCGATTTACCAGGACCTTCGCTTTAATTAATTTTTATAAAATCAAATATTTAACTCCTTGTTCTGCACAACTTTCCATTTCTCCAGGAGTTTCCACCCAGCACAGCACTACCTCTTAGGTCTATTTACAAATGCCGACTCCTCAACGACGCAACAGTACAATGAACGGTCTTCATATTCAAGCACCGGCTCATTTCGGGGCCATTTCCGCACTTCCCCTCCCCTCCGGGTATCCCGTTCCACACTTGAGATTTGTAATCGTGTCAAGAACGTTTACCAGTATCGGTGCCACCTATATGAAAAAGGGCGGGTTTTGCCCCACTTTATGCGACCGTTTCTTTAGGCTACACTTTTTTGGTACCTAGATTTTGCTCTAAAATTTTCGCCCTATTTTGTTACTTTATTTTTCTACCCTAAGAATTGTTCGCTAAAGTTCATAGTTTGTTTTTCAATTTTCACGTTCAATCCAACTCTTCGCGCACAGCCTTGGTTTTTAGAAAAACGAAAAAAGTTGGCGTTGACCGTGGTGCGGGTTTCTGCAGGCGAAGAATAATTCCCGGGTTTCCGGCTGTCCATCCGAAAGGCCATTGCACGGGCATTGTCAAAGGGATTGGGTCACTTTTTAGCGCGCACACCTTGCCCGCCCCGGCCGCCCTGGGCCCAATACACCTGGCTGACGGGCCGAAAGAGGAAACGCGTAAAGAGCTCTTGCGTAGAAATGGTTCTGTTAAATCTTATTTACGGTATATTTTGGGCGTCTATGTTCGCAGTGGCATCTTAAAATAGTTATTCTAATCTTCCTTGTGTTCACAGTAATTACAGACCTTCCATAATAGGGTTAGTTTCCAAGAATCCCCGGGCAGGTATAGGTACCTCAAGGGCATCCAAACAATGGTCATCTCCATTATTCGGCACATCTCAGCCCTTTCTTTCTCTTCTTGCGGACTTACAAGTGGCTAGGGTATTGATTCTGATGGGATTCACGATTTGTCATTGGTATTTAACACCTCTGAATAGATTAGATTTAAAGTAATTTATTTTTCTTGTGACATCCCGGCTTTTAAGTGGGCGGCACAGTGAAGTTCTAGGAATTTTTGAGGAACCGAACAATTTTATATTGTGATTTTCTGATATAAAAATCGCAAGACAATTTAACCGTCGGCATGTATACATGACAGTTACAGTCGTTAGATTATTTTTTATTGCGAATTTCCAACCTTCTGGTTTTTCAAGGCACAATTTAGTTCTAGAGATTTTTAGCCTCCGGATGATTTCCTATTATCGTATTATTCAAGCAACCCTCTACCTGACAGTTACAGCCGTTTTCGAAAGTTTCACCTTTAACCTGAGGTTGTTCAAGTACCCATCTTCCCCGAAGAGCACGACTACTTATTGCATAACCAGGGCGAGAGCCGGCTGTCCTCCCAATGTATTCAATGGCCGTTTTTGACCCAGAAACCCATGGCGGTCTCGGCCCGGCGCCTTCCTTCCTTTTTTAAACTTTCACCCCTTGTTGTGACAGTCCCAAAATTTCCAATCTTTGTTTAGTAGACATTTCTACGGCTGTTGGATACAGGGATGCTATGGTTTTGGCGGTTCAAGGTCGATTTATTCAACAACCTATATTCTGGGATAATGCCAGGCGTCGAGTGAATAATGTGTTTCTCGATTGGACGGAATTTCGACCTTGTATGCATATTCTTTGGTTGTAGCGCTATGGTTTGCACCTTCGGCCTGGAATGCCCTTAAACTTCAAGTATTCTACACTATAAAAAAATAATTTACGTGTAAATCAGAGTCCATTAATCAGAGTTCTGCGATTTCCGTCTGGTTGTCTGGGGTATATTTTCGATATCGGAAAAAAATGTTACGCTATTTTTAATGTCATTAGATGCGTAATAGACTGCAGATGACCACACATGACAGGTTTTCGAAAACTGTGGTTTGCGATTAGAGGACTAGGTATTCATCATCAACCGGAAGTGGGATACCTATATATAGACGGGCCGAGGTGCCTTTTTCGTTTTGCCGTGAAAATTTTATACTGCTTCACGTAGCGCTGTCAGGAACGCATTAAACGCCGACAAACATTACCCCAGGCGACCCGGTAGGAAGCCATCAGCGGCAACTGTGAAACCGAAGAAGATGTTGTGGGCTTTGGGTGTTGACACGATAAAGGAAGCCCATTGTTTGGTCTCGTAAGGAACGTTCAGAAGGCGGAATTGAAAGCGATATGTTATGTGAGACATCGTGGGTCGGGCCTACCCACAGTAGAGTCATGAGGGGGGAGGGAATACGATTTTGGGGTTGGGCCCGGTGCGAGACCACAGTTTAGGTTGTGGCCCAGATTGGGACACAGTCACCAGCTGGCTCTTCTTTCGGTTGGCCGGGCATGGTTGGGCCCTATATGGCTGAGGGCGATTAGTCACGAAATTGGAGAGCTTGTTTTTGGAGGACGTTAATCTTGGCCAATCGACTCTTAGAATGGTCTTGTCTTGCCCATACTTGAATTAGCTTCAATTCTTGATTCTACCTCTAAATTCCTACTAGCCAGGGATACATGAAATTGTTGAAATTGATTTTCAATTCGATCTGAATTTGATGATTTTGAATTTTAAATTATTTTAGTCTTATTTTATTGAAATTGAAGCCTACCATACCAAATCATTTTTTTATTTGATCTCTCCCGAGTCAAAATGTAGCAAGCTTGAATCGGAGAATTACGTTAATTATTCGCGCACCGCTGTTTTCTTATCCTGTGTACCCTGCCCCCCGTTTTATTCAATGTAGCCACCAGTTTTTAGGTGGTTTGATTGGCTGTCTTAAAAATTAAGCTTTCATGTCTTATGCAACTACACTTTTTGGAACATTCCCATAGTAATGCCAATTTCCCTACCAAAACAATACCCTCCCCCTACATCCCCCAACACTTTTTGCTATACAACCCCCGACCTTTCCGCCCCTCTCCTGAAAAGCGTCAGACGGTCAGCCATAGATGGAAATTCGCCCCGGCTAGAATAAGAAAAGCAAAGAGGCGCTAGGGCGAAGAGCAAGCTGACTGGGCGACAATGTCTTCCGCCTACAGGCACCCTTTGTTACCGATTTGCCAGAGCCTTCTTCCTCTCCTCTTTCCACCGGCCCTTCACTACCAAATTGCTCCATTTTTTGGAATGGACATTGCCTACAACAGGACACGACACTTTGTGTATTAAATGGGGGACGACTTTTGTTGGGGATGGCACTCAATTAAGACGGCTGGTGGCTACTCAGTGTTCTCAATTCCGGTAGGATCCGGGGAGATGTTCGCTCGGTCGGCATTTCTGGAAGGCCTCGGGCTTCTATCGAATTTTCGAGTCTCGCCGTTTGGCCGTTATTCTATTATAGCACCTTATCTTATTTATCGTTGGCTTCACATTTTGTAGAACAAAATCATTTAATTGTAGCTCCAAAAAAACACCTGAAGGGACGTCAAGAAGTTGCTTTTGCTAGCTATAAAACCCTATCGAGTTGCGAGAATCAAAGCGCGGTCCGTTTTTCCCATCGCCTATTGGAGGACCACAAGTTCAATGTGGTCAAAAAAATCTCGCAAATGAAATTCATAGCTCTACCGCAAATATCCACTTAGTCAACAGCGCCATGCACCCTACATCCTACTGTATTTAAGTAAAATAGTGTCTATTTGGTTCGGTGCGCATGTGCGGCGATGTTTCATTAGGCGAAGGGTTTCAAGCTGTGTTTGAACGGTCATTAAGTTTCTAGTAAGTTTTTAAGTAGTGTTTTTAAGTTTTAAGTTTTTTTTTAACATCAGCTAACGATAAGCAGGAGTTTTCGCTACTAAATTTAAGTTTTTGCAACAGGATCGGGCTTCCTCCTTGGTAGAATAGGGCTGAAGTGGCTCTAACTTTGACCAAGATGTGTGATTTTTCTATTCTCTGTGAATGTTTGGATTGGCTATGTAGAGTGATTGTCGTCCTAGACCCTAGCTGCATTCAGGTTTGAAAAACTAAAATCTATTTTCAACCCTAGGATCTCTCCAAAATGTCATAACCCAAAGGTATCATACCAATAGCTCTCTCCACCTCTTCAATAACAATAACCCGAATTGGTGGCTGGCTGGAGGGCGTTCGTTATTCGATCCCTCATCCCAACACGCTCGAATGATTTCATGTCTTCACCCCTAAAAGGAGGAGGCCATTCTGAACCCCCCGCACCTCACCTCCATCCGCCCTTCTCAAACCTTGACCTTCCACATTGAAACTACCGGAACATTTCTTTTTTTTATGTCTTCAATGCCACCAACATTTTCTTGAAAAACTCTACGGTTTATAGGCATTGATGCGGCTGTTAGATCGACCGCTTCTGATTTTAATATTTTCACACCTAACCTGGTCCTATTCCTACCTCGATAATCAGATACTTGGCACCCCAAAGATCAACTGTAATGCAGAGGATATCGAATTGGAATTTGAGTCTTTAAGACAATTCACAGGTATTTAAATCGATAAAAAATAAGTAAGAATTCTTTAGGAAAAGTTTACGTAAAAGGCAACTACAACAAGCCGGAATGTCGGGTGGATTACAGTAAACGGACAAAAGATGGGCGACCCACTGGTGGAATACGGTTAAACCATGGAGCTTGTAACATGGATCGGCAAAGACTGGTAACGTACAATTTTGAAAATAGCTTCATTACCATTTTTAGATTACCCCGGATGGGATGATGTTCTCGACAGTTCTCGTTATTAGTTTTCACCCGGTACAACCTATTATGGTATCACATTATTCTTTTTCAGCTTTTTGTTACCAAAGTGGACCGGGCTTACAACATTAAATGTATGTATAAGGAGATGACGCATACTGTAACGGCTTCATTGGATGTTAGGTGGGCTGTATGGGTTTTAAACGAACGTGAAATTTGCGCGATTTTTGCCCGACTAAAATTTTTTGCATTTAATGAATATATTTGGATGGAAGAATAAAATATTATAATCAAACTTTTCGTAAGAAATAATTTTAATTTAATTTAATTTTGAATGTAACTTTATCATCAACCAAAGGCTCGAACAGCTTTTTAAGTTTTTTATGGCTTGGGCCGTTTCGGAATAGTATTTGGAGTTAATGGAATTTAGTGTATTTCAGGATTGATGAATTTCCATAGTGTATTTATGCCTATCAAGATTATTATATATTGCTAAAAGTTCCCAAAATTACCTCTCCCGCGTTTTGTCGGATTTAATTGCTTTTCAATGCCACCCCATTCCCCGATCTCTATATGACCGTACCAAAAATGCGTTGGCACAAGTCCGGTTCCGCAGGCCACCGATTTCGCGCGGCACCCCCCGCAAAATACTCACCCTCCTGCCACGGCACCACTAGTCCTCATCGATTCTATAGTAAAAGACTAAACCGTGCCCCTCCCCCGACCGTTATTTTGTCGCCCATTACCGGCTTATACACTCCCCCAACGGGATTCGGGAATATGGGCGAGATGTCGCCCCAACCTAGCATAAAAATGGCCTGGCAGGATATGCTAATATTTACTGTATTAATTTGCATTACAGGGTATAAAATAATTTTAATCCTATTAAGTGACCATCTTTTAGTTCTCACCAACGGAACCGCTACATATGGATATGCCGATGCCAACATGCACGTATACGATTCGGAAAGATACCCTTGACGGCCCTATATTAAAATATGCGCGAGTTGGTGATCAGGTGGTACATCGTTGGGAATGTGATTCGGGTAAGCAATAAGGAAAAAAAATGTATATACTATTATTTTCTCGAAAGCTACGGTGTACTCGTCCATAGTTGCTACGTGGAAGATGGACAAGGCGAAAAACAACAAATTATTGATGAGAATGGGTTTGTTTTTCGCTTTCCGGGACCCTAGTATTATTATTAAGTTGTCATACTGATCGAATTCTACTCGGGGATCCGAGCATATGTCGAAGCTTTGAATATGGCCTACCGTGAATCATTTGCTCCAAATTCGCGGACCGAGTGGCCGTGCGATTTCAATGTGAAATCCGGCTTTGTTTGAAGGAGGAAGGCGGATATGAGGGATTACGGTAATATATTCATTTTTAGAAAATGACCACTTTTCAGCCGCCGATCTGCTTTGATATGCAGCACAGACATGTTAGCGAATTTGTGCCGGAACTTCAGAATAATACGGTAGGCATGGCACTCTTTACGAAGTTTGCGTTCTTAGATCACGAGGAAACGAAGAAAAGCCGGAGCCGTTGTAAAAGATGCTGATCTAATTTCACAGACTGTTTACGTTTTTGAGGCAGATGATAATAACAACGGTAAGTTTCAACAAGCACCTTCAAGTGGGATTTAGTAGACGAAAACGGAGACCTGATCTCGGCTTCACCTTTGTCTGGTGATAGGGACGGCGTATGCATTGGTATCGGCCTATTCACTGTATTGGCTATAAGCCTAACTATAATGCTACTTCTTCTAACCTCAATGGTTGTTTATATGTTCGTAATGAAAATGTGGCGGTAAGCTTCTGCCCACAACCCTATAAAACCGACTTTAGAACTCAGGAAAAGCAGCTCTTTGCTTCATGATGCGACTTTGCTTCAATTTCCTCATTTCCATCCTTTCCGATTCGGGTATTTTCATTGCTTGATCAACTCTCTGCGATATGTGCAAGCATTCTCTCTCTCTCTGTTGGGTGGCCATCTTCTCTTTCACTTTGCTTTCCATGTCTCTCCTGTTTCTTTTTCTCTATCTTTGGTTCGCCTTGTAAAAAAGGTGTGAGAGATAATAAATTTATTTTCTCAAGTGAGACGCGAGCAGACTACGGGATTTTGCAGTTTACATCGGGCGATGAGTTTTGATGGTTATTGAGTGGAAGAGGGATAGGATCGGAGTGGGGTGGTAGGCTCCCGCGGATAGTGGGTTAAAGGGATCACGACCGCAAAGCAATCGGTGACGTGAGGTAAAGAAAATGTATCTGCGCCTCGCCACTGGGCATGTTCTCTGCCCTGTTGGCTATTTGTCAAAAAGTCGATCAGGCTGATCGACCTTTGTCGTCGGTATCCCTTAACTCCCGGGGCGAGACCCTCACACCACCCGGGCTCGGTTCCTCTACAGCACAAAACCCGCCATTTTCCTGATAATTCTTTTGGTTTTTTTTTTGCTCCAATAGTATCACAAAGACCGTAGGAGGCAGTAAGCCAAAGGAAACTAGGGAGTTAGCATTAAAATTCGAAAAACAGCGCCGAAAAGAATTTTTGACGAAAATCACATCCAAATCTTTACCCAAGGTTTAATTACCCAAGTTTGAGAGGCGCGCTACCGTCTGCTTTATCTCGAGGTCATCCGCCTTCAAGAGGCCCGGCACCGATAGCAGCCGCCACGGCAGCGCCCCAGCCCGACACTTAGTGGATGCTAAATGGTTTTCGATCCTTGTAAGGCACCCAATCTCCCGATCTCGGTGATTCTCGGTGGTCAATTCTCCTCATAATGTAACCAGTCCCCCTGGAACTGAGCCAAAACTTGCTGAGGACTCCAAAAATAGTATCAGAATTTTGAAATTCAAGCTTTTTCGCGTCCAAACAGAGACAAAAGTTTATGCGGCGCGGTCGCGTTAAGATGGGGCGCGCCTCCTGGCTTATTTGGCCAGGAATCACAGCAGGGGGCCGTGGACACGATTTCCTGAGCCGAGCCCTGGACTTTTTAAAGGGGTCTGAAATCCAAAAGGCAGGAATCGAACCCGGGTCGTGTGCCTGGCAAGCCCTGTGGCGCAATGGGTAGAGCGTCCGTCGGCGTGCCAATCCAGAGCTGCCGCCAGTTCAATCCCAGCCCCCTCCAAAAAGCTGAATTTCGTTTTGCTCTTTTTTTGCAATAGCTTCAGCTCGTCTTATAGACGTGTTTTCATGCTTACAAATCCAAAAATTTTTTGTTATGCATTTTACGGGTACATTTTTAGTGCGTTTTGAGCGTACTAAATGGAATATTCCAGCAAATGGGTGTGTGGCCGACTGATAAACGATACATCAATCGATGCAGAAAAAAGTGGCGCATCTTTCTATGCTGGTCTCATGAGGCGGCCAAACACCCATCAAGTCGAAAACTGCAAAAAACTGTTTTATTACGCAATATACCTATGTTCCGGCCATTTCGTGCGCCGCAATTTATTAGGAAAAATTATCCCCATCCCAAATTAGGTTTACTCACAAAATTTGAGCCTATTCGTTCCGGTAGTTTCCGAGATAATTTTTTGAGGTTTGCAACTTTAGAGCCAAATTTAACTAGGAAAATAAACTTTTAACATCTCAAAATAGTGCCACCCTACCAATTCGACCCTGCTCTTCCAGATGACGTCAAAAAAACAGGGTCGAAAAACTGTACCAAGCCTTGTTCGGGTGACCCGCGGACGGCCTTTTAATTCAACCTTTTCAGCAAACCCCAGTTCGTGTGAGCAAGTGCGAGCAGGCTAGGAATCTGCGTCGAAAACTTGTCATCTAAGCATCAATGATTAAATAAAAACTTTATTCATTCGATACACGGCACTCCAATTACACGCATTGCGCAGCGTTTTGCTTCTTGGTGTTTTTCCAGACCGAACGGATCTCGGCTTCATCAGGCATGACGAATTGGGTCTTTTCTCGGAAAATACGCAGCAATGCCTACCATATACCTATGGATTATCCCTAAAAGGCGCAATTACATCGGAAACTAGGCGTAAAACCCAAAAGCGTGGTTTGAGTGTGGCGTGCTGTCGAGACCTAGCCAATGTAAGGATCGATTTGACGCTTCGGGTACTTTCGCAACATCGGGTGGATCGCTTTTACCAGTATCCAATTTTTCCTAAATTTACTTATCGGTTTTTATTAGAATTGACTCTAAAAACCTCATAAATTTTTAGAAAAAGCTACAAAAATACGAATGTTTCGTGGCAAATTTGAAAGTTTGGTACATTTTTAAAGTCCTCGAAAAATAAAAAAATAAATAGCTGATCCGCTGAAATATGACTAATTTAATAAAAAACACTATTTGTAACCGTAAAAAGATTCAAAAGTTTTGTCAAAAATAACGAAGTAGCGTTTTCAGGTCAAATTGAAAATTTTGCGTATTTTACCAGGTTTTCGCAATAGTTTTGCCGCCTGAAAGATGCCCAATTCATGCAAAATAAACTGATAAAAAATTTGTAGGAATTTCGGCGGAACTTATAGGAAAAATCCCACGTTCGGAAAACAAAAATAAAATAAAAAAAGAAGCTGCCCACCCGATAATGCGAAAGAACAGTCAGACAAAACACTGCCTATTGCAGGAAGACGGCCCCATTCGTGCAGCGACAAACGTCTCGGATCTGCTTCCTGTCGCCCGTCCAATGCCAGATGCCGACCTGAGGAGGAAGTGAAAACAACAAGGCCGGCCAGCACCCTAAAAACGGCTAATGGCCCAAAATACGCCCCTTACAAAGTGTAATTAGTCGCCTTGGGGACTCACCGACTCTCAAAAACAAAACCATCTCATCCTCGATCTCCTTGTCCCCCCAGAAAGGTGTTGCTCCGTAAAAATATTGTGTGCGCTTCCACTCGCCTGCCTGTTCTTGGGAATAAACAAAATTTGCCCCGTTTCCCAGTTTTCGGGAACGCTAGGGCCGAAAGATGCACCAAAAAACCAACGTCCTCTAGGAAAAGCATAAATAAATGCCGGGGAAATATTTGAAGAATAAAAGCCGAAATATCTAAATTAAAAAATGTTAAGCCCGGAAAAATCGCTAAAGAAGCCGAGGGCTTTTGGCATTTATCGGGGAGACTTCTTGGCGAGAATACAATTTTAAAAAAGAAAAAAAAAAAAGGGAAAAAGATAAAAAAAAAAAAGGGGAATGCGGAAAGAAAAAAAAAAAAAAGGTTAGAAGGGGGGGGGCTTTGTCGGGGGAGAGGGGGGAGAAAAAAAAAAAGGGGGGGGCCTCTGGCACAAAAAGAAGGGAAGGGAGGGGGGGGGGGGGGGTTGATTTTGGGGGGGGAGAGGGGAAAGGGAAGGGAGAGGGGAATAGGGCAACGGAAAAAAAAAAAAAAAGAGCAGAAAAGGCGGGGGGGGGGGGACGGGATTAAAAAAGGGGGGGGGGCGGGGCGGGAGAAAAAGAAGGAAAAGGGGGAAAGAAAAGGAGGAGAAAAAAAAGAAAGGAAAAAAAAAGGGGGAGAAAAAAAAGATTTTATAATGGGATAAAAAATTAAAAAAAAAAAAAAAAAAAAGGAAAAAAAAAAAAAAAAAAAAAAAAAAAAAAAAAAAAAAGGAAAATGCGCGGCCGCTCGTCCCCCCATCCTCAGGCCGGGGTTCATGTGAGACCGGCAACCCCGCGACGAAGCATCCGAATCTACTTCAACCATCTTGAAAAACAAGCATTTCAAAATGTGAAATTAAAGTACCTGGTCGTTCTCGCGCTTATGAGGCCGCTGACTACAAGTCTCCCAGTTCACCACTTCAAACGTTCGTTTTCGGCACTTCCGGCCGCCGCGAGGTCTTCCTAAAATAGAATGCATAGCAGGTCAAATACCGGTGTTTGCTTGAAGAAAGCCGTTCAATTTCTACCATGAGAGGCCATATAAGGTCGCATGCCCAGCATATCGCTCGGTTTGTAAATTTGAACTTGAAGTTTCATCTAAAAAAATACGATCCGACCTCAACTGCTAGCATACCAATGTGGCTCTCAGGCGTGTATCCGCGCGTTCGTTTCGCGGCTGAAGAGCTTCTGTGTTTTCTTCGGATGATTTCTTCTCGTTGTTGTCTCCGAGCTCGATCGATTTCGATCTAAAAATTAATAATAAAATAAACATTTGAACGTACCCAATCAGGAGATTTTGCTCCATCTGCTGCTCGATAGGGTCCACTGCCTCCCCGACGCCCTCGTCCATCTCAGAGACTACAAATCAAATGAAAAAAATTCAAATTTAAAGAAAATTTGAGAGACAAATTTGAGATGAATAAAGACTGGAAAAAAAGCATGCTGTTGAGAAAGGAACATACCAACAGTATATGATTCTCCATCCCGCAAATATCTGATTCAGAAGATCGAAAATGTCCAGAAAAAGATTTACCTTTCATGCTACTCTAAACTTTGCCCATGGTATTACGTCAATCCATGGGAAGAGAGGCTAACATTTTTAAAGAATCCCCACCTCCAAACACGCCGAAACCAAAATGACTCGTCCTGTGCTATCGAATATTTTCCAGCAGAGCTATCCACTCAAATTCCTTAAACTTGCCACGCGACGATCTAGGAGTTCCCACAGTTTCAGCTCGCTAGATTTAACAGCGTGGGAGATACCCCTATGTTTTCACCACGCATCGTAAAACTATGGAATTCACTTCCGCCACCTCTCCTCTTAAACCCCGCGACCAGCGCGAAACGCTCTAAGGAAGAGTGTGAAACCCTTCCCGCTAGCCCATAATCTCTCCTAAGCAAAAACCCTATTATCACCGTCCCTCGTCTTTCACCCATTTTTTTCCTCTTTACGTTGCAAATTTTTTTATCCAGCATTTTTCGCCTGCGTTATATGACCCGGTTAAATAAACCATTCATATAAATCGCGACCCAAAATGCGACGCGATTTGGTGCTGCAATCATTTTTTGAAGGCATGCGGTCAATTTTGGCTGAAATCGTCAACTATTGCCAGCTAGGGCCTGCACTTGCGTAGATTCGGACAGTATACAGGGTGTCCCAAAAAAAACGAACCATCTGGCATTTCGCCATGTTACATCCGATCGGCCCCAAATTTGGACCAGAGGTGGATCAGACCCTAAATAACCACAATACTGACTTTTTGCCCCGTAGCTACAGTAGTTCTCGAGTTATGGCAAAAACAAACTTTATTTTGTCTTTTTCATAGGGTTTTCGTGGAATTAGACCCCTAAACATTAAGTGAAAATGATCCGGAGGCGTTCACTACCTTAAGGGAATTTTCCCAGAGCAAATTTATTAAATAAGCTTGGATTTAAGCGATTTTTACAACGCAAAATTACCCAAGTTCTTCAGCGAAATTAGGGATTCGCAGCCGGAAGTCGATGCAAATCAATGCAAAGTCCAAAAAGATAGCCGAAAAAACCGTTCAGAATTCCGGGAAAAACAGTATTTTCGTCATAACTCTAGAACAACTGTAGCTACGGCGCTGTAAGTCAGGATTGTTGTTATTTAGGGTCTGATACACTTCTGGTCCAAATTTTGGGCCGATTGGATGTAACACGGCGAAATACCAGATGGTTCGTTTTTTTTGGGACACCCTGTAATATTATCAAAATGGGCGTTTCAGGTCATTTTCTGAACTGACTCATTCTGTAGTTCTCCATTCACACTTCTACATTTGATACAATTCTCTAGCAAACTACCTTATAAAGCCAATAGTATTCGAAGCTACATATTAGCGGTTCGAACCAGGAGTTTAGATTCGCTTTTGAATCCAGAATAGTATCTTTTCCTTCACGCAACCCGTTAGCGGCAGATTGAATATAGCGATAGGACATATTCCTAGAGCCATCGTTCAGCTGACGGCCCATTGGACACGAATACGCAGGAATACAAATGCCGAAGACAGACCGCGCGCCCCCAGGGCGCCACCAACGTTCGCCCCTTTCTCCCAATTTTTGTCTCCTAGAGTATAGTAATAAATTCCCATTCATCTTTTGGCCTAAATCTTACTTTTTTCCCTTGCCTTTCTAAAGCTTTTACATTTCTTTTCTGTAAATCCCTTGGTTTATTGTTACGTTTACTTTTCTAATTGTCCTGGGTTTTCTTTTAAAAACTCTTCAATTCATAACCAGGGTTCGGCTTTAGTGGTGGACATCCCAACTATTCGTTTCCCTTAGATCATTCCTCTAATCAGCTGAAAGATATGAATTCTAAGATGTTTCCAATAGTTTAGTTGATTACATTCCTTCTTTAAGCAATTTGATTTATAACTTATTGCTCTCTGAAGTTACCTATATTTACTTTACAGCGCTATGTCCGACTACAAGCCAATGACGCCGGAAGAAATGCAGGAAAACGTACGAGCCTACATGGCTTCACAAAAACTCGGTAGTTTGCTAAAATAAAATGGATTCTTTTGTTTAGACCCGGTCGACACCAGCAGGTTCACCGGCCGTCCGAGTGACTACAAGCCTTTGCAAGGCGAGGTGAGCTTTAATTTGTTGATTTTGTATTTTAGTCTTTATGGAAATGTATGAAAAAAAATTTGTCTTTTTAGCACCTGATTCGCTCATCGAAAAGCAAGAAGCCAGAAGCAGGAGCACCCGGATGCGATGGCCGACAAAGCCCTTGATCTGGAATCCAAGACAGCTCTGGCCCGGCCAGAGGTCGTCACTTCGGTGGACCCGGAGGAGGAGGAGGATGAGGAGGCGAATGAAGACCAATTCCCGTCAGTGGTTCTTTCTTTGCTATCAGAATGTTCAAGATTCTGTTTATTTTCGTTCGAAAGATTGCTTCTGCGCTGGGGTTGACATCTTAGATATTCTTGGATATTTTAGTTGTTCGGAACTTCATATTGATCCCGTTTAGAAACAATTGAAATTCGGATTTGGGAAAGAATAACTCATCCTTGAATATTCACGATCACGTAGCTACGAATGATGCTGCTAACTCTGGTTAGAAAGCAAGAATTCGCCCCTTTCCCGGAGAGAGACCGATTTTTTTTTCTTCCCATTTTTGTCTCCTAGAGTGGTAATAAATTCTCATTCATCTTTTGGTCTAAACCTTACGTCTTCCCTTGCCCTTCTAATGCTTTTACATTTCTTTTCTGTAAATCCCGAGGTTTACTGTTACGTTTACTTTTCTAACTGTCCTGAGTTTTCTTTTAAAAACTCTTCGATTCCTAACCAGGGTTCGGCTTTACTAATTAGGGTTTTCGAGCGGTTTGCCGAGTTTTTCCCTCCCAAAAGTGGTGGACATCCCAACTATTCGTTTCCCTTAGATCATTCCTCTAATCAGCTGAAAGATATGAATTGTAAGATGATTCCAATAGTTTAGTTGATTACATTCTTCTTTAAGCAATTTGATTTATAACTTATTGCTCGCTGAAGTTACATATATTTACTTTACAGCGCTAGGTTCGACCACGAGCCACTGACGCCGAAAGAAATGCTGGAAAACATACGGGCTTACATGGCTGCACAGGAGCTCGGTAGTTTGCTAAAATAAAATGGATTCTATTTTTTTTGGCCCGGTCGACACCAGCATGTTCACCGGACGCCCGAGCGACTACAAGCCATTGGACGGCGAGGTGAGCTTTAATTTGTTTATTTTTATTTTAGTCTTTGTGAAATGTATCAAAAATTTATCGTTTTAGCACCTGCTTTCGCTCCTCGACAACCTGGACGCCAAGAAGCAGGAGCACCCGGATGCGATGGCCGACGAAGCCTTTGATCTGGAAACCAAGACAGCTTTGGCCCCGCCAGAGGTCGTCACTTCGGTGGACCCGGAGGCAGAGGCGAAGGGAGACCAAGCCCCGTCAGTGGTTTAGCTTACAGAATGTTCAAATTCTGCTTGTTTTCATTGTTTATGCGCTAGGGTTGACCCCTTAGATCTATTAGGTTGTTTTAGTTGTTAAGAACTTTATTGTTATGTTTGGTATAAACAATTGAGATTCGGATTTGGGAAAGAATAACTCATCCTTGAATATTCACGGTCAGGAAGCTGAGAATGTTAACTCTGGTTAGAAAGCGGCTTCCCTTGTCTGCATTAAGTTTTCTCGGGTTCAAAGAGCAAATTCCCGGGCACTCGCTCTTATCGTTACAGCAAATCTCCAAATTGGGAGCCACACTTTCAAAAGAAACTTTATAATGGTAACTGACAAGTAACTTACACTAACCCTTCTATAAATTTAAAATTGACCCTATCCTTAATTTTCATGGGCTTTCCTAGTCAGGCTGATTTCTTTTAGCTCACCGCTGTCAAGAGCAGGGTAAACAAGTCGCGTGTTTTCAACTTCTCCTGCATTGTCCAGAACCCCACCCAGCTCATTTTCGGTCAACCAGATGCATTTCCGAGGTTATCCGGCGTTTGTTTATTCGACCAATCATCCCAAATGCTAGACAAGATGCTAATTCCCTGAAGGCACAGCTTCAACCTAACGGATATAGTACATACAGCCACACCTTCGGTATACAGCGATAACGAACAACGCCCCGGTGCTCGGTTTGTATGTATATCGATTCGGCCCTTTGGCTCTGTCTGTGCGTGTGCTGCTTTTTGCCCAGATTTGCCCGGGCACCCGACCTATTTGAATAGCCACCCAACAAGGTCTGCGCGTATTTCGCTACCAAGCTTTTTGATTTCCTGCTACTAATTGCTTTACCATCGAAAATAGCAAAGAATATAGTCTATCAACTTTAAGTTTAGCTCAATAAGATTTCTCCTGATGATGGACAAAGCTAGGCGTTCGGAGAATGCGGTTTTTAAAGGTTGCCATGGATGCGCTAAATGCATTTCCGCAAACAGGATCCCATTTCCTGGCGCGGCATGAGAAGAAGTCCGATAAATTTTGGATCGAGCTGTCAAAATTGTCTTGTTGGGCAGTTGAATTTCGATAAAAATAGCACGCGTAATTTTTGGCTTGGTTTAGGCGGTTTTAGGTTTTGAATTCGGAAAACGACCATCCCTCATTTCTATGGCTAAACGGCGCCATTTAATTTTTAGCAAACGGCAACGACGGCCCCTACCGAGTGGCATTCATTTTTCAACTATATTTACAGTCGCTCACTTTTTGACCGTCTCCTGAGCCACTGCTTCTTTCAATAACACTTTCCACCACAGCCTCTTATTGATTCCTCACTTTTGACCAAGTCGTATACAGATGATGACTCAGTTTTCTCTAGCATATGCGGAACGCGGGCCCGGTGTGCCGCATTGCATTCCTTCTC